GCGTTACATGCAGTAAATTTCAATCCATTACTCCACAACCTTTCCCAGTCCTCAAACATAATATTATACCCAATGTCCTGTGCCCACCTTATCATAGCCGATTTAACCGTTTCATCTTGTGTATTCCATTCTAACAGCAAGTTATACATCCTTGATAGTACCTTAATCTTTGGTTCTAACAATTCTGTTTCTAGTTTCGATTTCTCCACCTGGAACCCTAATTTCTTATCATTTTTAAAAACTTCTTTAATCTGAGCGTAATGTAACCAATCTCGCACTTTGTCTTTCATTTTCTCCAAACTCTGCAATTTCCAATTGTCTCCATCCTTTTCTAGTATTTCCCAGTATTTTGGCCATTTAGCCTCCATATTGGGTCTTTTTCGGGCCTTAGCTTCTAGTGGTGAAAGCCACCTGGGAGTTCTATTTTCCAGCAAGTCTTTATATTTTGTCCAGACATTAAACAGTGATTTTCTGACAATATGGTTCTTAAAGGCCTTATTTGCTTTAACCTTGTCATACCATAAATATGCATGCCATCCAAAAACATTATTAAACCCTTCCAGGTCCAACACATCAGTGTCTTCAAGAAGTAGCCAATCTTTTAGCCAGCAGAACGCTGCGGCTTCATAATACAACTTTAAGTCTGGCAGGGCAAAGCCCCCTCTTTGTTTTGCATCAGTTAATATCTTAAACTTAATTCTGGGCTTTTTGCCCTGCCAGACAAACTTAGAAATGTCTCTCTGCCACTTCTGAAAGCACTCCGTTTTGTCCAAAACCTGAAGTGTTTGAAATAAAAACAACATCCTTGGCAATACATTCATCTTAATAGCAGCAATTCGGCCTAACAAAGAGAGTTTCAATTTTGACCAACTATCTAAGTCTCTCTTAATTTCTGTCCAACATTTTTCATAGTTGTCCTTAAATAGACTTAGATTTTTGCTGTTATATTTACCCCTAGGTATTTTACTTTTTAACCACATTAAGTTCCGTCTCATTCTGAAACCGTTCTGACTCTGTATCTGTCAAATTTTTCCCCAAAACCTTGGTTTTCTGTTTATTTAATTTAAATCCAGCCACCCGACCAAAATCATTAATCAGTTGTAATACTCTTTTCGTACTGGGCTCTGGCTTCTGCAGGGTCAAAACCAGGTCATCTGCAAAGGCTTTTAATTTATATTGTTTCTGACCGACCTGAATTCCTTCCACCAACCGATCCCCTCTAATTATGTTCAATAGCACTTCCAGAACCGAAATAAATAACAAAGGGAGATAGGGCAACCTTGTCGTGTCCCTTTTTCAATTTTGAACTCTTCTGTAACCACATTATTAACTATCAATTTAGCTTTCTGTTCTGAATATATCGCCTCAATCCCATTCTCAAAACCCCGTCCCACTCCCCAGGCTTTCCTTTTTAAAACAGGTGATAGCCAATCACATTAATCACACTCCTGCTGAGTCACTCTGACCCAGCACTTCACAGAGTATTGCATCATCCTGTTGAAGCCTGCAGACTTACTCAGTATCCTGCGAATCCCAACACTCCTCCTTAAGTCAAAGGCTTGAGACCTAATAATTCTCTTAAGTCTTGAAATTTAGGAGCATCCAAACATTTTGTATACAAATCCGCCACATTACATTTTGTGTTACAGTGCTGTACCTTTAACACATTTCTTTCCAAAGCATTTTTCACATTTACGTATCTTATCGCAATATGTTTACTCTTGCTCTTAAAGTTGTGTTGGTTAGCAAGCTGTTGTGCAGCCATGTTGTCACTTAGCACAGTGATTGGCATTTCAGAAGGTATCCCAAGCTCTTTTGTTAGGCAAGCAAACCACTCTATTTGTGACACACATTCGCTTATGGCTGAGTACTCTGCTTCACAAGTACTTGTGGCAACAAATGTTTGTTTCTGGGATTTCCACTGAACCAGGGCATTTCCAATATATATGGCATAGCCAGTGGTAGACTTTCCATTTTCTCTGTCCCCCCAGCTGGCATCAGCGTATGCATACACTTGCTGATCATATCCTGTATCCAGCATCAGTTTGTAATCTTTTGTGCCTTTCAGATACCTTAGGATTCTTTTAAGTGCTACCCAATCTCTCTGAGCCGGGTCTGCACTTCTTTGGCTTAACATGTGCACTGCCAATGTTATGTCGGGTCTTGTCCAACAACTTAAATATAACAGAGAACCCAACAGAGAATGAAATGCTGTTGCATTCTCACATTTTTGCTCTTCTGGTTCATTTTTGTACTGGGTAGTTATGGGAGTGTCAACCTCATTTGCCCTCTCCATTCCATATGTCTTCAGTAACTTCAATTTTTTCCTTCTGACTCAGAGAGTAGACGCCCTCTTCATTTCTCTGAACCTCTACTCCTAAGTAATTCTGAATCTCTCCCAAATACTTCAGTTTGTATTTGTTACCTAGGCTGTTTATAAACCAAGACACTTGCTTTTGTGCAGTTGTTATTAGACAGATATCATCAACATACAAAAGTAAATAACAAACACTTCCTTGCACCATTGCTGAATATAAACAGGAATCAGCCAGGCTTTGTTTGAATCCCATCTTTTTCAAAGTTGTGTCTATGCATTCATGCCATAGATGTGCACTTTGGTGTAAACCGTATACTGTAGTGCCCTTTGCAGCTTTAACACCATGCTGTCTTTTTCCAGCTCATAACCTGGTATTTGCTGTAAATACACCTCGGCGTCAATAGGAGCATTTAAATATGCTGAGGCAACATCAAAATGATTAACTTTTAACCCTCTCAGACTTGCCATTGCTAAAACTGATTTTACTGTTTCAGCCTTTGCTGTTGGGGCAAACATTTCATCATAATGTATCATTTTTCTTTGTGTAAAGCCCCTTGCCACCAACCTGGCTTTCCTCTGACAACTAACATCAGCCAGCTTTTTCACTTTAAAAACCCACTTACAGCTTATGGGCTTTTTACCTTCAGGCAATTCTGTAGGTACAAACACATTGTTGTTTAGCAGAGAGTTATACTCTGCCTGCATTGCCTTTAACCACGCCTCTTTCTCTAGAGTAGGTAACTCTTGCACTTCTTCAAAGTTTTCTGGCTCAGTTACACAAACCTGGTTTATGGTGGCTGGGAACCCATAACGGTCTGGAGGTTGACCTTTATTACTTCTTGCAGACCTCCTTGGTTCATTAATCTCACCCCCTGGGCTACCTTCAGGACTGCTTTTGGGGTGGATTGACTCCGTAGATCTACCTCCTCCTGTCCCTGTTGCACTTTCTTTTCCCCCCTGCTCCATGCTAGCAGCTGGAGAAAAATGCTCAACCTTTACCTCCTCCCTTTCAGTTTCTCTGGGAGAGCTGCCAATTCTTAGCTTTGTTTCAACTGCCTTATCAGGTATGCTCGGCAGTAAAACCTTTTCTGGCAGCAGGTTTGCATGTATCTTGGGCCAATTTCTTTGCTCATTAAAACTGGCTGATCGACTATAATTCAAAAGATTTTTATCATCTTCAAACCTGTAGGCTTTCGTACCACTTTCATACCCAAGAAATAGCAACTGCTGTGCCCTTTTCCCACCTTTTCTTCGGTTCTTTACAGGTATGTCAACTCATGCCTTTGTCCCAAAGATTCTAAAATGTTGCAAACTGGGACTTTTGTTATAGAGAATTTTATAGGGTATGTCATCTAGTACCCTTGACCACAAGCGATTCCCAATATAATTCGCGGTCTTAATACTCTCAGCCCAGTACTTAATTGGAAGATTTGCATCTGCTAACAATGCTTTCATTTGTGTCTGCAAGACACCTCCCCTACGCTCTGCTACTCCGTTCTCCTGAGGCGTTGCCACATTGGTAAGCCTATGTTTAATCCCTTAGGAACGCAACCAGTTTCTTAGGGAGCTTGCCATAAACTCTCCTCCCCTGTCTGTCTGAATAGAGCACACCTTTTCGCCAAGTTGCCTTTCTACCCTTCTTACCCAGAACTTCAAAGTTTGGGCAACGTCAGACTTTTGCTTTAATGGATAGACCCAGCCAAATCTAGAATAGTCATCCACTAGGATCAAACAGTACTTGTTATGGGAGACACTTGGTGGAAAAGGACGAGTTACATCAGCATGAATCAACTCCAGTGGTTTTTTGGTTTCTCTCTGGCTTGCTCTTGCTACTGGGCAAGCCCTGCTTTTAACCTCCTTGCAGATATTGCAGTCTAAGTAATTATCACAACTTTTAATGTTTTTCATCCCCCCACACAACTCCAATGTTTTGTTCAGCACCTTAAAGCTAGCATGAGCCAGACGCCTGTGCAGGAGATGAATATGTTAGGTAAGATTTATTGCTTTACTCTTGTCGTCCAGCACACTTCCCCCTGCGAGCCTCTGCAGGTCGTAAAGCAATTAGCAGAATTGCACAGCGTCCGTGTATGAAAGAGCAGTCCCACACGTTTCTTCTTTCCTAGTAGCACTTTATTTGCCCAAAAATAGCATATTTACAGTTCATATACACCATCTGATTCAAGCTGCATTTCTGCGTCCTTCTCTCAGCTTGGCAGCTGCGTAACTAAGCTGCTTTCACTTTTCACTCAGCTCACAGCATTCCAAGCTGCTTTCGTCACGTCCTGGCTTACTTCCCTTGTAAGCGCCTCCTCTCAGCCTCGAGACACAGAAGGTTAACCCTTCACTACACCCAACAGAATACACATATCATGGGTTGGGACATTTTGCACATTCGCAACCTTAGACTCACACTGCAGTACATACACATTAGTTCTAAGGTTAGCATTTGCCAACACTGCCCCATTTTGCTTTATCTGGCACTGATCTCCCACAAAGTTTACTTCAAAGCCTGCTTTTGCCAAGTCTGGAATACTCAGGAGATTGTTTTGCAAACTAGGCACACACAACACATTCCTGAATGTGTGTCCCAGCTGTGGGAACACAACCTCCCCCTCACAAACCACATTAGCTTTCTGGCCCGTAGCAAGACTTAGCTGTTTTTTGTTTGAAGCCCTAGCATCAATTAGCAGTCCTTTTCTTTTACAAAAGGTTTGAGAAGCTCCACTGTCCAGAACCCACAGCTCTTCATTTTCTTGACCATCTGCAGACACCCAAGCGGTAGACTCTCTCTGCTGCCTCCTGTGCTTCTGCTGTTTTTGTTGTTTTCTTGGGCAGTCCCGCAGCAGATGTCCACTGGAACTTTGTTGACCACCGGCTGGTCTGCAGCAGCTCCTCCTGGCTGTTTCTCCGGCTCCCGACACCTCTGCTCTTCCCGGCTGTTGTTCCCTCTGGGATGCTCCAACAGCTGGGCTGAGGTCATCTTTCGCTCTGCACGCCTGTCCTCCTCTGCATACAACCGTCCAGTAACGTATTCCAGAGTCAGCTTATCAGTCTCTACAGACTCAAGGGAATTGACCAGCATATCATAGCTGTCATCAAGGGAACTCAGGACTATAAAGACTTTGTCCTCTTCCCCCACAGGCCTCCCTCTTAAGGCTAGCTCCTGGAAACAGCCTGTTAGGAATTTTAGGTGGTTTACCAGGGAGTCCCCCGGTTTCTTCCGACACCGGTACAGTCTCCTGGTCAGTGTTATCAGTGAGCCAGCTGTCTCTCGCACATGGACAGCCTTGAGTGCATTCCATGCCTCACTTGCCGTCACCTTATCAGCTACGTAGACTAGCTGGCTGTCGTCCACTCCAAGAATGATCGTAGCCAAAGCTTTCTCATCCTTTTCTAGCTGGGCCTCTGCTAGTGCCAGCTTTTCATCGTCGTCCTCATCCTCCTCAGGGGGCTGCGGTGGAGTTTCCACCACCTTCCACAGGCCCTCACGCTTGAGGAAGTGTTGCATGCGGACCGACCAGGTGCTGTAGTTCGTGGCCGTGAGCTTCTCCAGCAACATACCAGTTCTGGACTGCTCCATCCCTGCAGCTCACCTCCAGCACCCACGGCTAGATAACTGCCACCTGTACTCTTGCGCAGCGGAAGCGTGCTGGGCCCATAACCCTGTCGCGATTCCTCGCGGCACTTTTAGCAGAAACGCTCAGAGTCCCAGGTTTTTCCAGTGCAGTCTTTTTAATGTGAGCTATATACAGGTATTTACAAAAACAGTCCATACAGAGTACCTGCTCCTTAAGGCAAACGAATACTCTCCACCACAGCACCACCATACCACAGCACAACCACCACAACCACAATTACTGTTGAACAGGCTTTCCTTTTTAAAACAGGTGATAGCCAATCACATTAATCACACTCCTGCTGAGTCACTCTGACCCAGCACTTCACAGAGTATTGCATCATCCTGTTGAAGCCTGCAGACTTACTCAGTATCCTGCGAATCCCAACAAACAGGAGGAGACAAAAATATACACTCTTGGAGAAAAAGAAAGAGAGAACACAGGAGACAAAAAGAGAAAGAGGAAAGGGGTGGCAGTAAAAGAGAGAAGAGAATGACAGCAAAAAGAGAGAAGGGAGGTGGCCCTGTCCACACAGCAAGTGCAGAGGTGGATTTAGAGGAGTGTGACTGGTTCGGTCACACTGGGTGCAGACCCTTGGGGGCGTCACAACTATTATGTAGAATGGAAGGCGAAGGGCGGAGGGGTGTGTGCCAAATTTTGGTGTTGCACAGGGCACTGCTGAAATTTGAAATCCCAGGGTCCACCAGTGGCATGTGACAGCCCCTCTCCTCCTATAAGTTGTGCTCATTCTGGAAACAAAGAGTGAATCTTGCTGCCAAAGCACAGTCATGTTGTAGGAGCTAAGATCCTTTACTTCAGCTGTTGGGCTGGGGCCCACTACTGGCCTTGGATCACAAAAGCAGCATTAACAACATACAGAAGAAAAAGAAGAAGAAGAAGAAGAAGAAGAAGAAGAAGAAGAAGAAGAAGAAGAAGTCCCCATGTGCATATTTGGGTTTAAAATGTCTCAACATTAGCACCAATATTAAAACATGTTGAGACATTTTAAACCCAAATATGCACATGGGGACGACTTCTTCTTCTTCTTCTTCTTCTTCTTCTTCTTCTTACAAATTAATGATATTACATAAACAATTGTGATAGTATCCATATTTGTGTCAGGGGCTGCTGTTATAAGGAATAAACATGAGGATTTAACAATATTGGTTTCATAGCTCATCTTGTATTGGAACAATCACATATATATATTTTCATAGCCGTGTCAAATTTTCTGAAACATAATTTAAAGAAGACAAAGATGCTTTAATGCTTATAGTAATAGAAAAGTTCTTGCTATCTGTAATTCCCAAAGAGGTGAACTGCCACATGTATATTTTAAAATAGTTCCATGGAAGGTTCATTAAATTTTTGTTTGTTTAACTTTTTGCTTTTTTTAATGAAAACATTTGAGCAGCTTGCAGCTTTGTAGCCTGTTCTTACCTTATGGGTCAAAATATCAAGAAATTGATGGCAAATCTGAAACTGGGCACTTTTCAAATATTGTGCACTTGAAAACAGTGGATTCATCTTTTCATGTGTATTCTAATTAATAAGGGATTAGACTCAGGATGATGTGGAAAGAATAGCCAAGCCATGGTTTAACCTACTTCTATTCCTAAAACTGCCACAGAGCCTCTTTTCTTTTGTTGTTCTCCCCTTCCCTTGCAAATCCATATTTTTGTATCCCAGAATATCCATTTGCTGTTTCCAGTTCTTGCCCCCCTCTTGTATGTGAACCAACATCACTTGGTCACTCTTGATTCTCATATATGTTGTGCAGGAAAACTAATATATTTCAGTCAAATTCTTGTCGATTTACCAGCACACTTATAAGCCCTCTTGAACTTAATGTGAAGCCTTCTGGAACACAAAAGACAGGGGAAATTCAGCCCATTTGTGGTTCTAGCAAGAAACTATTGCCCAGCTTGACTCCGGCTCTGATTGTCCTTTAAAGCTGGCTCAGACATTTTAACCAAAATAAAAGGAGCCAAGTATGTAACTTTGGATTCTTTAGTCAAAGCAGTGGTGTGCCCACATAAGGGTTCTCAAGAAAGCAATGGAGACTAGATCAGAACTTTCCCAGAAAAAGTAGTTTTTGTATTGAAAAAGTATAACAGATTTTCTGGTTTTGAAGTATGTCGGTCCAGATGCCTTCACCTGAGCTCTTGCTAGCTGAATATATTTATGCAATGATAAACGCTTGTCAGATTTCTAATGTGACTACCTAACCCCCTCTTGGAGTGGGGGGGGGGATCAAAGAGCAGATGCCTCAAAGGTTCTGAAGAATCATTTTGTCATCACACCAATGGAAGAAAAAGCACCCCCAGGGGGGTTTGAGGAGACATCCAAAACAAGAAATATGTCAACAGCTCAACACTGCATAAGCGTCCTTTAACAAGGTTTCAAGGTCTGCACCATTAAATTCTCTTAATTATTATAAATAGAACTGAAAAAGAAAAAAAGATAATTTGGATTCTCTATCTGGCAATTAAATAGCATACTGGTAACCAAACAGCACTGCAGATGGTGTAGAAAACTTTTAAGGCTACAAGCTGGAATTTCTCTCAAGAGACTTTGAAAGATTTATTACCTTAGAATGATAAAAAACAAATAATGACTATTTGCTGCCTATAATTTATAACTTACGTTTTTTACAAGTCTCCGTCTCCTTGTGTTGCATTTTTAGCTGTGTCATAAGTGCTGAACGGGTGGGAAGAATCAGTATGATTCAGAAAATCCCAGTGACTTACTTTAGAACTTTAAAAGAATATTCAAATCACTGTTAAGAGATTTTGAGATCTGAATTCCGAGAGACAACCAGAGAGATCAACAGGAGAAGGAGTGGAAATTCTGGAAGATAAAGTGATTGAACACATTGAATCAGGGGCATACCGATGGGGGGCGGGGGGAGCCACCCCGGGTGCAATCCTGAAGGGGGGTGACATTTCGACACCCCCTGCCCGTGACCCCAAAGCCCGTGAGTTGCGAGTGGCAAAGCACTGTCTCGCTGTAAGCGGCTCCCGCTTTGCCGCTTTCCAGTGGGAAGGGAGAAGGACGGGGGAGTCCCCTAACCCTTGACTGGCTGGTCCCCGACCGGGCGCTCCAGCCGAGCTCCCTGGCTTGCGGCAAAGCGGCTCCCCTGTCTCTCCGAGCCTCCAAAGCCCAGCAACATGCAAACACACAGAGGAGCAAAGCTTCCCAGGCCCCTTCCCAAAATAACACATTTGGCTCGGATTGGCGCCTCAGGGCTTCTCCCTCACCCCCAAGCAGCCCATTCTCTTACATTCCCTACTGTTGCTCTAAATCGCAGCTGACTTCATGTCAGCATCCCCAGGTCCTTACTCCACCTCTCTTTCCCCTACTGTTTTGAGCCTTTCCCTCGTTCAAATTCATGGAGCGCTAAGGAGGCTTTTCTCCAAATGTTTTGTTCTTTTCCTCCCTTGCTGTTTGGGGGGGGGCGCCTTTCTTCTTTCTTTCTTTGTGTTTGAACTAGCAGGCGAGCAGGCAAGGAGCTTTTCATGGGCAGTATCACTTGCATCGTAAGCCCTGCAAAAGTTCCTCTCGTTGCTGCTCAACAGGGAGCTGCTGCAGCCATCCACAATTCCCTGGACGCTCATTGGGTCGCTTGTGCGGGTGATGTGCCACGCCCCCCAATCCGGGTGCCAAAGCCCCTAGCTCCGCCACTGCCCTGAATTGCAAAAAAATGAAGAAATAGCAGTGATGAAGAAACTGGTGATGAACATGGAAAGCTATATAATGCTGGTGATAATTCAGTATTTGCTTTCATATGCTTAATGTTGCTTTGATGGGTTGTCTAATGAGAGCGGTGAAGATGTGCAAACAGAAAAGCCACTCATCTGGTGGAGTTTGAGTTGTGGAAGGATTGGAAGAGGATGGAAAAGAGACTATGTGGATGGAATATAAGGTTCTACAGGCAAATAACAACGGACTAATATGTTGCTGAGATTTGATGTAACCCCTAAAGAAAAACGCATCACAAGGAGCCAGAGAAATACTACCTTAAGACATGAGAAGTAAAAAATTATAAAAGAGGTTTGAGGACCTCTTGAGTAGCAAAGTTTGATGATTGGAGGCCTGGGGAAATACAATCATGCAGAATGAAGAAACAACAACACAATAACTATATTATTTATAGCTAGAATTACTCTGTGTGATATTTGATTTTTGGAGACTCTCTAGTGGTCTTAACTAGATGTATGTCTCAGGGTTTCCATACATCCTGAATTTCCCAGACATATCCAGTATTCAGCTCTCATGAACACTGCCCAGGCAAAAATCAGTGAAATGGCAAGGAGAATCCAAACAAATGGCAGCCCATGCTGGTAGTGTAGATTTTGGTGAATTTCATTTAAAAGCACTACAACTTTGGGCAAAAGAAAAGAAAAAGAAAAAGTTCAACTATATTTGTGTCCGGATTTTCACTTTTTCAAATCTGTCTTAACATCTAAAAAACTCTATTTGTGATAAATGAAGATACGTACAGGGATCTCACAGAGAGAAGAGGAAGGGGCTGTATGAGAGGCAGGTCAGAGCAGTGGTGCAGGGAGGGGGTGTGGGGGGTGCGGTCCGCCCTGGGTGTCATTACTGAGGGGGGTGACAAAATGGCAGCTCCCGGGCTGCTTCCTGGCAGGGGGTGGGGAGCTGTGCTGCTTTGCAGCCGGCCTTCCTCCCTTCCTCCTTCGTTTGGACAGCTCGGGGGAGGCTTGGGAGGTCCCCCCCCCCAAAGCAGCCAGGGAGCGCAGGACAATGGTGCGTTGCCTGCCCGTGACTCCCAAGCCTCCCCTGAGCTGTCAAAACACCAGGAAGAGCTTTCTGGCAGGCAGAGCTGTTTGACAGTGTACAGAACTCCCTCGGGAGGAGGTGGCCTCTCCTTCCTTGGAGGTCTTAAACAGAGGCTGGATGGCCATCGGTCAGGGATGGTCTAGTTGAAATTCCTGCATTGTCCCAGGGGTTTGGCTGGATGACCTTCAGGGGTCCCTTCCAACTCTACAATTCTGTGGTACAGGCTTGTGCAGAGTTTTAGGTACAAGTTGGATGCAAGGGGTGCATAGGATTGCAGCCCATCTTATGCACTGTCGGCTCGGGAATAAGTCCCACTGATCATGATGAGACTAGATTGCTGCTGTGCAGTCCTGCTTTTAAAATAAATGTTTTCCTTTTCAGATAATACAGAGCATGGTGAAATCACAATAAATAAAACCTCCCCGTCAGTAGTTTCAAGCACTACTACAGGTTCTGCATAACATCTGTACTGCATTGCAATAAAGCCCATTGCAACAAAGCACGTGCCACCTTTGCTATACTCTTTTCAGGCACCTGCTAAAAGCATTCTTGTTTAAGCAAGCTTACCCAGATGCTTTGTAAGTTGAAGTACAGTGGTACCTCAGGTTACATACGCTTCAGGTTACAGACTCCGCTAACCCAGAAATAGTGCTTCAGGTTAAGAACTTTGCTTCAGCATGAGAACAGAAATTGTGCTCCGGCGGCACGGCGGCAGCAGGAGGCCCCATAAACCACTTTGTAAGTTGTTTTTTAAAATAAATTTTATTTAAAAAATAAACAACAAATATAAATAAAATAACACAAGCCAAAACACAAGCCATCCTATAAATTTAAGTATCTGTCCACAGTCGCCTACTTGTTATCAGAGGCCCAGAATCCACATTCCTTTGTAAGAGAATATGAAATAAAGTCAAACCATTTTTGCGGGGGGGGGGGGATTCAATGTGGGGGGGTGACAAGAAATTTTCCGCACTGGGTACCACCTGACCATGTTATGCCACTGGGTCAGAGTGGTTTTTCTCAGAGTGGGAGACTGGGGAAGTGGAAGCTCTCCCAGGTGGGAGGTGGGAGGATTCAACTCTCTGAATGTGTGAAGGTTAAGATAAAATGGAGACTGAGTGTTACATGGATATATTTATAATTTTGTGTTTTATGAGGATCACATGAGGATTATTATTAATGTATTTTACTTTCTTTTTTCTTTAGTATTTTTCTGTTTGGTTTTTTTTTTAATTCTCTTTAGTTTAGTTTGCATTTTATGGCATATTAGGATAAAAACCTATAATAAAATTGTGTTGTTGTTTTTTAAAAAAGAGAAACTATAACAGCCATTAAATGATTAACTAGTGAAGCCTTCCCAGGAAGAGGGAAAGAAAGAGAAGAAATGAGAAGACACAAAAAGACATTTAGAAAGAGAGAAAGTGAATTAATTTGCATCACTGAACTTAACTGGCATGAACAGCGTTAAACGGATAAACACTTTGGTTAATTAAGCAGTAACATACGAATGTAGCTGTCTCACTGCAGAGAAGTTGATATAGTTTTGCCCCACTGTACTTAAATGCCTTTTGTGAATAACATTCTGTGAGTAAATGGCAAAAACAAAACAAAACAAACAAACAAAAAACAACTCTCAGGCTTCCTGGATTTAGCTAAAGCCACATAAAAATTAATTCACTAAGATACTAAGCAATAGAAAATAGAATCATAGAATCATAGAATCATAGAGTTGGAAGAGACCACAAGGGCCATTGAGTCCAACCCCCTGCCAAGCAGGAAACACCATCAGAGCACTCCTGACATATGGTTATCAAGCCTCTGCTTAAAGACCTCCAAAGAAGGAGACTCCACCACACTCCCTGGCAGCAAATTCCACTGTCGAACAGCTCTTACTGTCAGGAAGTTCTTCCTAATGTTTAGGTGGAATCTTCTTTCTTGTAGTTTGGATCCATTGCTCCGTGTCCGCTTCTCTGGAGCAGCAGAAAACAACCTTTATCCCTCCTCTATGTGACATCCTTTTATATATTTGAACATGGCTATCATATCACCCCTTAACCTCCTCTTCTCCAGGCTAAACATGCCCAGCTCCCTTAGCCGTTCCTCATAAGGCATCGTTTCCAGGCCTTTGACCATTTTGGTTGCCCTCCTCTGGACACGTTCCAGTTTGTCAGTGTCCTTCCTGAACTGTGGTGCCCAGAACTGGACACAGTACTGCAGGTGAGGTCTGACCAGAGCAGAATACAGTGGCACTATTACTTCCCTTGATCTAGATGCTATACTCCTATTGATGAGGCCCAGAATTGCATTGGCTTTTTTAGCTGCCGCGTCACACTGTTGGCTCATGTCAAGTTTGTGGTCAACCAAGACTCCTAGATCCTTTTCACATGTACTGCTCTCAAGCCAGGTGTCCCCCATCTTGTATTTGTGCCTCTCATTTTTTTGCCCAAGTGCAATACTTTACATTTCTCCCTGTTAAAATTCATCTTGTTTGTTTTGGCCCAGTTCTCTAATCTGTCAAGGTCGTTTTGAAGTGTGATCCTGTCCTCTGGGGTGTTAGCCACCCCTCCCAGTTTGGTGTCATCTGCAAATTTGATCAGGATGCCCTTGAGTCCATCATCCAAGTCGTTGATAAAGATGTTGAATAAGACCGGGCCCAAGACAGAACCCTGTGGCACCCCACTAGTCACACTTCTCCAGGATGAAGAGGAACCATTGATGAGCACCCTTTGGGTTCGGTCAGTCAGCCAGTTACAAATCCACTGAGTGGTAGCATAGTCAAGACCGCATTTTACCAGCTTCTTTACAAGAATATCATGGGGCACCTTGTCAAATGCCTTGCTGAAATCAAGGTAGGCTACATCCACTGCGTTCCCTTCATCTACCAGGCTTGTAATTCTGTCAAAAACGAGATCAGGTTAGTCTGACATGACTTATTTTTCAGAAATCCATGCTGACTATTGGTGATCACAGCATTCCTTTCTAGGTGCTCACAGACTGTTTGCTTAATGATCTGCTCCAGAATTTTCCCTGGTATTGATGTCAGACTGACTGGGCGGTAATTATTTGGGTCCTCTCTTTCCCCTTTTTGAAAATAGGGACAACATTTGCCCTCCTCCAGTCTGCCGGGACTTCGCCTGTTCTCCAGGAATTCTCAAAGATGACTGCCAGTGGTTCTGAGATCACATCTGCCAATTCTTTTAATACTCTTGGATGCAGTTCATCTGGCCCTGGAGACTTGAATACATCTAGACTAGCCAAGTATTCTTGTACTATCTCCTTAGTTATTCTGGGCTGTGTTTCCTCTGTTGAATCATTTGCTCCAAATTCTTCAGGTCGGGCATTGTTTTCTTTATCGGAGAAGACTGAGGCAAAGAAGGCATTGAGAAGTTCAGCTTCTTTAGGCACCTTCCATGTTTCCGTCTCATTGGTATTGCCTGAAGTTGTGCTTTTACAATCTCCCGCTTAACAAACTCCCAGCCATCATGAACTCCCTTTCCTTTTAGTATTACTGTCCATGGGATCTCACCCAGCACTTCCCTAAGTTTTATCAAGTCGGCTTTCTTAAAGTCAAGAAATTGAGTCCTAGTATGCTTGGCTGCTCCTTTCCGCTGTATAGTAAACTTCAGAAGAGCATGATCACTCGCGCCTAATGATCCTTCCACTTCTACCCCACTAACCAGGTCATCAACATTGGTTAGGACCAGATCTAAAATGGCTGTTCCTCTTGTTGCTTCTCCCACTTTCTGGACAATGAAGTTGTCTGCAAGGCCAGTGAGGAATCTGTTTGACCTTATGCTCTTGGCCGAGTTTGACATCCAACAAATATCCGGGTAATTGAAGTCCCCCATTACTACTATCTCCCTTCCTTTTGCATGCTTGGCCATCTGTTCCAGGAAGGCATCATCTATGTCCTCCGTTTGGCTTGGGGATCTATAGTAAACTCCCACAATGAGGTCACTGTTATTCTTCTCTCCCTTAATTTTGACCCAAATGCTCTCACTTTGGCTTTGAGGTTCTAAATCTTGGATCTCTTCACAGGTATACACATCCCTGACATATAACGCCACTCCTCCTCCTTTCTTGTCTGGTCTGTTTCTCTGAAATAGATTGTATCCCTCCATTATTACATTCCAATCGTGGGACTTATCCCACCAGGTTTCAGTGATGCCTATTATGTCATATTTAGTTTGCTGTACCAAGAGCTCAAGCTCATCTTCTTTATTTCCCATGCTTTGCGCATTAGTGTACAGACATTGAAGTCCATTAATCATTCCCCCGTGTGTCTTATTTAAGGATTTTTTCCTCCCACCACTAGGTCTGTGTGCTGTTTGCTCCATTTGGTCTATGACATTTGGATGATCATCTTCATCAACTGATAAGACTCCTACCTTCAGGAGCACTGTCTCCCTCCCCCACATTAGTCAGTTTAAAGCCCTCCTGATGAGGTTTCTGAGATTTTTGGCAAAAACATTCCTCCCAACCATTGTGAGGTGCAGCCCATCGCTTGCCAGAAGTCCATCTTCAAGAAACTGCAGTCCGTGATCTAAGAATCCAAACCGTTCCTGTTTACACCATTTGCGAAGCCAGCTGTTCACTTTCACTATTTTCCCCACTCTCCCTGGGCCACTTGCATTACAAAAACTTTAGATTGCAGAAAACTCTCTGCTATATCATATGATTCCTAGAATTTCATTTTGAAAAGGATAAATTGGAATTCTCACTAGGCTACAGAGCCGGGTTAACCAAAATGTTAAAGAGCTGTAACATGGATCTCAAGCAAATGGGGACCCCTGTAAAGAACGTGCTTTTCCAATAGTCAGAGCCAGCTCACAACTTTTGGTACCCAAGAAAAATGGCAAAATACATATAATAAGGAACCAGATGGCAAAAAATGTATAATAATTACCCAGAGCTATTAAAAGAATGTCAAAAAGTTGAGTTTTCTTGCAAGTCTATGATTATCCTGACCTGTAAACAGATTTGTTTCTGTGATTCCAATTTATGTTGAAACTCTTGTACTTCTTTCAGCTCCAGTAATTGAGGTACAGTGGTATCTCGGGTTAAGAACTTAATTTGTTCCGGAGGTCCGTTCTTAACCTGAAACTGTTCTTAACCTGAGGTACCACTTTAGCTAATGGGGCCTCCTGCTGCCGCCGCACAATTTCTGTTCTCATCCTGAAGCAAAGTTCTTAACCCGAGGAACTATTTCTGGGTTAGCGGAGTCTGTAACCTGAAGCATCTGTAACCTGAAGTGTCTGTAACCCAAGGTACCACTGTATTTCTTTTTCATAGCTAAATGCGATTAAAAAGGAAATTTAAATGACTGATGTGATTGACAAGTGATACGCCTTGTTTGAACATAATGCTTAAATTAACCAAGTTATCCTGGTTCATTTTAACAACAAACCACTGTGAGTCACCTTCTGGCCTTGTCAGAGGAAGAGGGGGTAGTGTTTAAATCCAAGGGTCACTCCGGCTCTTTCACAAAGCCATAAAGCCTTACCTTTATTTCCAAACTGCCTCATAGGGAGTTCTTAAAATGCTTCACATGGGTCATTCCATATCAAGTGATCCAACTTTTTTACCTCATGTCATCCAACTTTCTTAATATCTTCTACACTTGTTGAAAGATCAAAACATGGAATGACACATATCTATTATCTTGCCAATAGCAACCTAGTAAAGTAGGCTGTTCTTATTATTGCCCTTTAACACATGGTGGGCTGGCTTAATACCATTCAGTGTGTTTAGGAACCTGATGCTCATTGAATCCAGAACTTCTCTATTCACACTCTTAGCTATTATTATCATTATATTATAATTACTTTATTATTCACACTTAGCTATTATTATCCTAGGACTGCATCCACAGTAACTCTTTTGTAGCACAGTAATGTAGCTTTTCTCAATCCGGAATCATCTATGCTTGTTCTCAACATGCTGCTTTCAATTTAGATTATTTCTAGCTCATGCCATCCACAAGGGTGGAGGTACTTACCTTATACATGTTTGAAAACTTTCTCCTTGGTTGGCTTATTCAGGTGAATGAAGAAGGAAGTGGTCTTGGAATATGCTCAACCACAATGCCATTGGGCAGCGGTGGATACACCCAACCCCTGTCCTTGTCAAGGCTGCCTCCATCTGTTTTCAAATGGACACACTAAAGAATAATGCAGAATAGCCTGCAATAAGTTTTTTTTTTGAATGATAAGCACTTTTCAGGGCCAAAAATATGCAATAGATCTAGACTGTGTGTGGACTATGCAGAAAAAACAAGTACTCAATCTCTCAGTAAGTGTGTAAACTAGACCTACAAATATTACTTTCTAGTTGGGGGTGAGAGCCACAGGCCCTTGCAAAAGTAGCTTGCATGCAATGAAGAGCTTCTATTCTGTCACATAATGAGAGAGTATGAAAATATTTTTCATTTAATTCATGTAATTATTATGCTGCGATAAGACCAAACACCCATGAAATCAAGGTTCTGTTATTGAGATACAGAAGTAAATCACACCGTTGTCATGCACACAGCCAGCTTTTTGTCTTCAGAAGATGGATGCACGTCCCACCATCACAGTTGCTTATTGTATAATTGTGGGTTTAAGGGAATGCGGTATGCTGCTCATCACTCTTTCCTCTCCCTTTGATGAATTTATATTGCAAGCTCCTTGGGGCAAGGCCCTGTTCTTATTTTCTTTTTGCCACATCATTCTTTAAAAGGGCAGCTCCTTTTCATGACTAAAAGGATCATCCGTAAGTGAATTTGGCTTATGGAATATATGCAGCAAGCCATGACCTTTTCCTGAGCCCAGCTAATGCAGCTCCTCCCAAAGGTTTCGAGGCCTAAAGGGATGGATGAGGTTGGTCATATTCACTTTATCCTCAAAGCCATCACAGAGTACTGTGCAGCCACTCAAACTCCCTGTCCTGGCCAGCTAAAAATCAGTAACTGCATGCTTATCTCTGCTTTGCCACAGATATTCCCTGCACAATAATTGACTTGGGGACAGCAGGGATCATTTTACCAGATTCCCAAGCTATTTTTCAGTGAAGCTAGGAGGTCTTTATCCTGCAGAACCCCTCAATTTGTAACTGTCGTTGTTTACTGTAATATATATGTGATGTTCAACAACAACAAAAGATGAAGTCCATTTGATGACCTTGCAACACCCCCCGCCCCCCGCCAAGAATCAGCTCAGAACTGGGGGAATCATACAGAAGAGGGTGGTGTGGGTGGAGAGAGAATTGGCAGAAATTACCCCACTTCTTCTGTTAGTGGGTCACTAGATATAATTTGCTTACAAGAGACGCATGGAAGAGTCTTGATAAATAAAATAATTTGTAACCTCAGATAAAACCCAAACTGGAGCCAAACCAATTATTTAAGAATGAAGAGAAGAATGATTGCAGTACAAATAACATCACAAGGTGACAAAATAATCTTAATTGGAATATATGCACCGAATGAGAGAAAGTCGGATTTTTTTGAATGTTAAAAGATGTTGGAATATATGGACCAGAATATAATGTTAATGGGAGATACAAATGGGATAGTCTCCCTAGAGATGGATAGAACAATAAGAAAAACAGAAACAAAGGAAGTCAGATTACCTGCAACCTTTTTTAAAATGTGGAGAACTTTGATTTGTTAGATATTTGGAGATTTAAACACCCACTGGATAGGGAATTCACATTTTTTTCAGAAGCACATCAGTCCAGTGGAAGAATCGATTCAGTATGGCTCTCGGGAGAATGATTGATACAGGCCAAAAAGGTAGAGATACAACCAAGAACACTTTCGTACCACATTCAATAATACCTGAATTAAAAGGAGGGGGGAACCCCATGTAGATGGAGATTAAATGAGGGACTTATAGATAACCAGAACATCTTACGAAAAGCAGACAAAGTCCTGAGGAATTATTTTGAGCTAAATTCAAATCAAGAAACAGACTGAAAGATGGTCTGGGATGCTAGTAAAGCTGTAATGAGAGAATTCTTTATCTAACAAAATGCCTATAAGAAAAACATTAGAGAAGGGGAAAAGAAAGAAGTATTGGAAGAATTGATTTAAAAAGAGAATGAATTGGTTAAAAAACCAGGGAAGGGGTAAATAAAACAAACAATAAAGATGTCACAAACACAATATTCAATTATAATAAATCAAGAAATAGAGTGGAAAATAAAAAGGATGAAACAGAAAAACTTTGAATATGCAAATAAGCCAGGTAAATTACTGGCATGGCAGTTAAAGAAAAAACAGGGCATAAATTTAATAAATAAATTAAATATAGAGGGGAAAGTAATAGATAATCAGAAAGATACACGAAGGCAATTTGTAAGCTATTATACAGATCTATACGGAGCCGGCTCTGAAAATAAAGAGAAAATTGAAGAATACAGTGGTACCTCAGGTTACATACGCTTCAGGTTACAGACTCCGCTAACCCAGAAATAGTGCTTCAGGTTAAGAACTTTGCTTCAGGATGAGAACAGAAATTGTGCTCCGGCGGCGCGGCGGCAGCAGGAGGCCCCATAAACCACTTTGTAGGTTGTTTTTTAAAATAAATTTTATTAAAAAAATAAACAACAAATATAAATAAAATAACACAAGCCAAAACACAAGCCATCCTATAAATTTAAGTATCTGTCCACAGTCGCCTACTTGTTATCAGAGGCCCAGAATCCACATTCCTTTGTAAGAGAATATGAAATAAAGTCAAACCATTTTTGCGGGGGGGGGGGATTCAATGTGGGGGGGTGACAAGAAATTTTCCGCACTGGGTACCACCTGACCATGTTATGCCACTGGGTCAGAGTGGTTTTTCTCAGAGTGGGAGACTGGGGAAGTGGAAGCTCTCCCAGGTGGGAGGTGGGAGGATTCAACTCTCTGAATGTGTGAAGGTTAAGATAAAATGGAGACTGAGTGTTACATGGATATATTTATAATTTTGTGTTTTATGAGGATCACATGAGGATTATTATTAATGTATTTTACTTTCTTTTTTCTTTAGTATTTTTCTGTTTGGTTTTTTTTTTTAATTCTCTTTAGTTTAGTTTGCATTTTATGGCATATTAGGATAAAAACCTATAATAAAATTGTGTTGTTGTTTTTTAAAAAAGAGAAACTATAACAGCCATTAAATGATTAACTAGTGAAGCCTTCCCAGGAAGAGGGAAAGAAAGAGAAGAAATAAGAAGACACAAAAAGACATTTAGAAAGAGAGAAAGTGAATTAATTTGCATCACTGAACTTAACTGGCATGAACAGCGTTAAACGGATAAACACTTTGGTTAATTAAGCAGTAACATACGAATGTAGCTGTCTCACTGCAGAGAAGTTGATATAGTTTTGCCCCACTGTACTTAAATGCCTTTTGTGAATAACATTCTGTCAGTAAATGGCAAAAAAAAAAAAAAAACTCTCAGGCTTCCTGGATTTAGCTAAAGCCACATAAAAATTAATTCACTAAGATTCTAAGCAATAGAAAATACTTCAACAGAGATAGGCAAACCCAATTATCTATATCATACAATTATCTATATCATGTTTTTGCAATGACATTCAGTTTGCTTGTTGTTTAACAACCCAGGCATCCCAATTCCTGTACAATATGAGCACAATTATCATGCAATCCCTTGGTTAGGAATTTAATCAAAACATGCAAACTCAACCATCTTGATGAACCAATTACGACACACACTAGTTTTGATCAAATTTCCATTTAGGTTATTTTGGCCCACCTCTATAAGATTTAAAGTCCTGATCAGTAGCTAGTTTTCTTAGGGGTGAACTTTGAGAAAGTTATATATGGGTCTAGGACAGGATTCTCAGAGCCCCAAGAGGAGAACCCTGGACCATTTCAATCATCAACCAATATAGGGACATGGGTGTCACTGTGGTCTGAAGCCACTGAGCCTCTTGGGCTTGCGATTGCAAGGTCGGCAGTTCAAATCCCCGCGACGGAGTGAGCCCTCGTTGCTTTCTCTTAGATCCTGCCAACCTAGCCATCTGAAAGCAAACTAGTGCAAGCAGGTACCACTGCGACTGGAAGGTAAATGGCATTTCTGTGCACTCTGGCACTTGTCATAGTCCTCCATGCACCAGAAGCAGTTTAGTCATACTGGCTACATGACCTGGAAAAGCTGTTTGTGGACAAACACTGGCTCCCTCAGCCTGAAACGAGATGAGTGCCACACCCCAAAGTCAAATTCAACTGGGCGTGGTGCTTCGAATTGACTGCTTCTTTCACGGAGTGAAGCGCATCGCTGTTGCCGGAGAGCGCTGACTTTTTCCTGTGGACAACTGGATTTTAAACAACTACCCGTGAGTAGAACGGAAAATTAGATCCTTAAATTCATTAATTTGGCATCGAAACGGGAAGGTTCTAAACAGGAAGTCCGCCTTCCTTTTTTGTAAACAGATTGAAGCAAAGAAGTTGCAAGTTAAAGCCTTGGAAAGTTTATTTTTGTAAAGGATTAAATCTCCATCGGTTAAAACTATTAAACCCCCCTTGGAAGCAGGAGAAGAGGGGGGAAAATTTTGGACCTAGTGAGCCTGCAGGAGAGAGTGAAAAACCAAATTACCACTGCTCCGAACCTGGAAACGGGCTGCCAGAAAGAGTGACTTTTTTGACAGCTAGCAATAAGAGAAATATATTGTTTCCATTGTACTCATCTGCGTTTAAAAAGTAGGAAAAGAAACTAACTTTATAGTTTAAATTGTGTTTGAAAGGATTGATACAAGTGGAGACTGTTTCCCTCTAGAGGGAGCTTTTGAAATTGTTACAAGAAGCTGGAGCTGGGGTTTTTCCAGTCGTAAGATAAGAACTGTGTGAAATAGAGATTGACCTTGGACTTTAAGAATGTTGACAGAAGGAGCCTTAGTGACTGTATTATGTAAGATAAGCTATTCGTTGGAACAGCTCCACAAAAAGACGGACGCTATGAATACCAAACATGAGAACTTGGGACAAAAAGTGACTAATTTGGAACAAAAAGTGACCATTAATACAGAAATTGTTCAGGATTTGACACAGGAACCTACCTTGACAGGACAAACTGGGGAGAAGACGAAGGAGAATGTTGGTGTTGTTAAACCTAAAATAATACAAGTGGAAGCCCCAGCTTTACAGAGGCAAACTGAGGACTATAATTGGAGGCCTTTTATGAATGAATATAGAAAAAGTCAGAATTTGAAGATTGGAGCCCTGCTTGGATTGAAGAAGGAAGGTTGGATAGACTCTTTCAAGCAGAGATTTACTGACCTTTGGGTCCTGAATCTGGGTCAGGAGGTGATTGGAGTTGTGGGGGCCTTTGGATCTGGAGGAGCCTTGAAACATGATTTGAGACATTGTATGGAGACTGGTTTTAGCTGTGGAGAGTTGGTTGGTCTGTCGAGAGGGAATGGGGGCATGGTTGGATCGGGGCCCCCCCAAGACCTGCGCTTCAGCACCCTCAGTATCAAAGAATATGAAGAAAAACTGCAGAAGGGACTTGGAAAAGATTTAAGAGCCTCGGACAGAAGATCTCCAGGTTGATGAACTATGTGTAATGGACGGAAATGACTGGCAGAATCCGAGACCAGGGAGAAGAGATGGTGGTAGAAGATTGGGAAAGTTTAAAGTTTATATATAGAAATATTGTAAATTTAATGAGTGTTAGAAAATTGTTGGAATGAAATTTTATGGCTTTAGCAGAAATGTTATAAGGAGTTAGGTATAAATAAGTATTTCAGTATTAATGGAAAATAAGGTACAAAATATGTTAAGATATTCATAATGATAAAAATAGAGAAAGATGGAAAGGAATTGCTGAAACAAGTAATAGAAGTGGAATACAAAAAGGGAGGTGAGAGGAGGTCGATGAAATAAGGGAATGAAAGATAGAGTAATGAAATGGTATGGTATATGTTTTTAAATTGTTGTTCTTTTGTTTTGTTTAGGTTAATGTGTTAAGGTTGTGTTTTGTATTGTTTATTGTATTGTTTTTTCTTTTCTCTCTCCTTTTTTTCTTCTCTGTTCTATTTTGTCTTTTTCTTTCGCCTATTTTCTTCCTTTTTCTTTTCTTGTAAGTTTTAAAAGCAATAAAGATTATTAAAAAACAAAAAAAAACAAAGTCAAATTCAACTGGACTCGACCATCAAGGGGTCCTTAACATTTACCTTTACCTTATAGCAACCAATTTAGTTTGTTTAGAGTGCATTCACAAAATATTATAACATCCACAAATTATATGTCACCATGTTCCTGGCTATTATAAATCTTTTTTTAAAAAAAGTTTTGAATGTTTGTGCTATAGCAATTATTTTATCTAGGCACTACTGCACAATTATGTCAGTGATGTTAAAAACTAGAAGAAAAATAAAATTAAAATGTTAGAAGAAGCAAAAATAAACCTGATAAAAAGATGCTGAAAAGGCCATATATGTCTGTTTGGTTTTGAATCATTTGTTTAAAATTTGCATGAGAAATCTTTTGTCTATTTAGTGCTATTGTGTCAATATTTTAATCATTAAAAACTACATGGAAGAGCAAAAATCAAAAGAGCATTTAAAATGTAGCATTATAGCAATCTACAACTGTAGATAGAAAATCAGATCATTTTTCGCCCTTTCATGTCATTCAAAATTTCATATCAACCCAAACAAACAGGCCATAGTACACACTGAACTGGAGGAACAGCTGCTAAAGAAACTTAAATATACTCAAGAAGAATCCATAAGACTGCTCAATAGTTCATTGTAACTGTAAAAAGGTCCCAGCTTTGCCTGCCAGTGGCAGAACCAGACCATTCAACTGTCAGCAAGAAGATAAGCTGAATTTGTCACACCCACAAAAAACTCCCCTGTAATTTTAAATTAACATGGTTTATGTTTCGCTCTGTGTGTGTGTGTGTGTGCATGCGCACGCATTTAGCTTAAGAATACGAACAGGTGCAAAAAAAACCGCCAACACTAAAATCCCTTCACAAAGCTGCCTTTCTATGCTTCTGAGCTTAGTTAGACCTCAAATAAAGAAAACAAAGTGGTATGGGTAGTTTTCAGTGGGGCTGGTCAAGGGGGTTAAAATTCAGGCTCATTCTTAGATACATTCAAGGATACACTGCAAAAGCAGAATATTTTAAAATGTTTGTTGTTACTGCTTTTTAAAAAAATTAATACTTCATAATCCCTCTTTCAACACAGGACAGTGAGATAGAGAGATTTGTGCTGTTGGCCTGCATGCCTAGGACAGAGACCTACTTAAAAGTCTGTTAACAGCAAACCCCTTGCTGCATTCAGATGCCAGGGGTAACTGTGGTTTGCACTAAAATGAAAGCGGAAGATTTGAATCTACTCCTTTGTACAAGTAAAAGGGATTGAGGGGAGAGAAGAACTCAAGGCTGATGCTGGATTGTTCCTGTAATGCTAAAGCAAAGCTGAACATTTGAACCTGACCATTGTGTAAAATCAGCAAGCTGACCAGAGATATGGGAACGATCAGGTGTAATATGAAGGGTAATCCCACGTGTTCTGAAAATTTGGTGGCAATAACATAGGAAACTGTCAGACTACCAGTCCCCATTGCTTAGGGCTGCCATATTTCAAAAAGTGAAAATCCAGAGACAAAAGAGTTTTTGAGCCAAAATCAACACTTCAACATGGGTTGCCATATGCTCGGATTTCCCCGGACATTTAAGTGATTCTCACCTGGACGCTGTTTACAAGAGCCAAATACCATCTGTGTCCGGGAAATTCTGGACTTATGGCAACTCTAAGGTTGCTCTGCAGGTTTTTACACAGGAATTGTTGCATATAAAGCCCGGGCTCTACTCAGGGCCATAGTGGGGGGATCCCTGCCCTGCCTTGCCCACTGCCAAGGGCCGTGTCAGTCCAACAGGCTCCTACCTGCACAGGTGGGCAGGGATGCAGCACAGCCCTGCTTGGCCCCGGTGGCCAGGGCTGAGCTGGCACGCGGGCTCTGTGAACCCTGCGCATGCCCATCAGCGTTGGCAGCAAGAGCTGGCCTGGCACAGTGGGTTTTATTGGCCTTGGCTCTACCATCCTTGGTCTCTCCTTTTATTGTGATCTTCAGAATGAATATATTTTTCTAAAAAAATTCCCCTCCTGTTTTGGTAAATATTAATTAACTGAAGTGGTATCAAACTCAATGGGACATGGCGCATCTAAGAAGACGGAACCAGAAGAGAATGTAGCACCATAGCTGTCAACCGTCCCTTATTTGGCGGGAAACTCCCTTATCCCAGCGCCGTTTCCCGCTGCTGTCCTGGATTGATGATGCCCCTTAAATTTCCCGGGTTTCATGCTCTCCTAGCTCGGGAGGGAAGCAGTGTCTCGGGGTCCTCCGCCTCGAGAGAGAGCGCGCATGAGCTGCCGCGTCTCCGTCTCTCCTTTTTCCCTCTCAGGGGTGCGTCGTGAGGAGACAGATGGCGGTGGGCGGGCAGGCAGCCCCTCTCTTGCGAAACTTCTGCCGTGCTGCCAGGGGAAGCCAGAGGCGGCAGCAGCAGCGGCGGCAGCAGCTGGGGAGGCAGCCTGAGGGAGTAGGAAGAGGAGGGGAGGGGGAGGGACGCAGAAGGGAGGCACTTCAGCGGCCGCCGTGGCGCCGCAACCGCCTCATGCCGGGCTTGCGGGCAGCGTGGGCGAGAGTCTCTCTCCCTCCCTCCATCCCTCTCTCTCAGGCGGGGAAGGGCCGATGGAACTCCTCGCGCCAGGACGGCAGCCCCGACGTGCTGCTTAGCATCCCCTCCAACCAGTGCAGCATCTTAATGTAGTGATTTCCCCCTCTGCATCCCTTTCATAACTCTATTTTTATAAATCCTTTGTCCATCCATAGTTCAAATTTTTACTACAAGTTTTCTGTCAATCCCACCAATGCATGTAACTCTTTACAATAGCTTTTCAAATAAATTATAAACCTTCCCCATTCTTTATTAAAGAGGCAGGGGGTTGGACTCGATGGCCCTTGTGGTCTCTTCCAACTCTATGATTCTATGATTCTACGTCCTCTTCCTGGTTTCTAATTCTGCCTGTAAGCTTTGCCATCTCGACGTCGTTCATCAGTTTTGTCTGCCCCTCTTCTTTGGTCGGAGTTGTAGACCCTTAGGATCATCTAGTCCAACCCCCTGCAAAACACAGTCAGTCGCAGCCAAAGCAGCATGGCTCCATGAGTGCCGGATTTCTGTATAAGCTAATCAAAATCCCTTATTTTGGCTGCTGATCCCTTATTTTCGAGGCTGCTGGTCCCTTATTTTCAAATCTGTAAGTTGACAGCTATGTGTAGCACTTCCATCTAAAATTGAATTATCTCAGATGCCATCCAGACTACCTGAGTATGGTGAGATTTGACCTGGGAATGTTCCACACTTACCCAGGAGCATACCAGCAACTCACCTTTGGTGCAGTTCCATGCACAGATGGAAGACTCCAAAGACGTGGGCAGAATTTTGCCTAGAGGCCTAGTGGTTTCATGCAGAAGACCCAAGCAATTGGCTCCACACATTTTCTGAAATAGAGTACCAGCTGTTACCACTAGGCAAGTGTGTGAAAGGTCCCAAACCAGCAACACTAGGATATTAATACATTTTGGCCCACAAACAGAGTTAGTTTCTTACTTTCTTTGAACCACCAGGATACTGTTCTTCAGCTCTTCAAGTTCTTTCACAGCTAGGTCTAGCTGGGAGGAGGAAAATGAATTTTGGTTTTTCAAGTCTGCTTCCTCCTGGACTATGATGTCTTTGCAATTCCTTAAGTCTTCTAATCTAAATATGAAAGAAATTGAAGATGTTGATGTGGGGGGGGGTCACTGCATTGGTCCCAGCTAACAGGATGTGGCCAGGAGGTGCTGCAATTAGATTTTTAAAATGGAGGGGAAATAGGAAACAATGCAGCCATGGGCCCTTCCTTTATTTTTATGTTACTACTGGAAGGATCCAAGGCATTGGAGACAGCCTCCAGTGCTCTAGAAAAATTCTCCTTACAAATGTCAGCAGCCCTCCCAGAAGTGCTGAGTTCCACCTGACATGGGGGGGGGGGGCTCAGTGCATGCATGTGACATCACATGTGCTACACACACATGTGATGTCATGCACATCAGGACAAGGCCCTCTGCCACTGCAGGTAGGCCCAGCGGGGCCCTACTCCTCAAGATTGGGGGTGCTCAGCCCCATCCCAGCATACCTTGGGCAGGGGCTAAGCTGTCCTCAGCCCCATAGAGTTGGCGCATATGAGTCCTCTAGCGCAGCACCTAATAAGGGTGTGAAGTGCTGCTGTGGAAAGGAAATTAGCCATTCTCCCCATACTCCAAAAACTGGCCAGATGGGAACCAGTATTTATTTGCAAAACATTTTTTGTTTGTGGTACCTTATTGATTGCGCTCTGCACCAAAGAGCTTACAGTTTAAGCTGAGGTGAGAAAAGGAGTCAAGGTTAACACAGAAATGAGGAAGGTATAGAATGGGGAAATAAGGCATAAAGAGGAGATGAACATAAGCAAATTGAATGACATGTCTTTAAGTTTCATTCTCTATTTGATTGCGGATTAAAGAGTTAAGGATCAAAGGGTTCACAGAAAAGGTGAGTTTTGAGGTGGGTTTAGAAGGAGGAAATGCAGATGGGGTCACATTAGGTTTTCTGTGAGAGAGCAATGGCATTTAGCATTTGATACCATGTGTGTAAATTGACAGATAGGTACTGAGAATGGAATCTCGTAAGTTAATAATCTGAAACAATCAAGAAATGCTACCAAAAGGCTAAAGCATTAAAACTGTCACCTTTATTTAAATCTCTGGCTAGAAAATCTGCATGTCAAATATATGATTTCAAATTGAACTACTGTATTTTTCGCTCCATAAGGTGCACCAGACCATAAGGCGCACCTAGTTTTTAGAGGGCGAATTCAAGGAAAAAAATCTTACTCCCCCCCCCCCAGCCTCAAAGAGCAGCGGACAGAGCTTCTGGGGCTACCGGGGGAAATCCGGGTCCCCCCTGCCGCCCCAAAGGGCAAAGAAGCCAAGACAGCGAGCAGGATGGATCCCACTCGCTGTCTTGGCTTCCTCGTTAGCCACACGCAACCTCTCCAGCTGGGAGAGGCTGCGCACAGCTAAAGAAGCCATAGCTGAACGCAGCCTCTCCCGACCGGAGGGGCTGCATGTGGCTACGGCAATACCCCCACCTCCCGCAAAAGCCCACAGGAGCCGTTCACCCTTTAAGGAGCTTTTCCTGCGTGCTTTTCTACGAGGAGGGAGAAGGGACTGACTGGCCGCGTCAGTCCCTTCTCCCTCCTGGGGGAAAGTCTGCAAGAGCCACGCGGAGCTTGTGTGCGGCTCTTGGGGGCTTTTCCTGCCTGCCTCCCCCCTGCATTCGCTCCATAAGACGCACACACATTTCCCCTTATTTTTTAGGAGGGAAAAAGTACGTCTTATGGAGCGAAAAATGCGGTAATTTGATTTTTTTTTTTCTTTTTGCAAAAATTAATTTAAACCCCAGTATGGATGTAAGAATTAGGTATGCTCTGTGCAACTCTCATTTTATTTGAGTGCCTCTTTGATTTCAAGTGGCACAATGGTGCTTGGCAGTTTCAGTCCCATGATGAGGCCTGAATCCCAACTGGAAGGGATCCAAACAGTCTGCATCCTCCAGGCGTGCCTGGAGTTGTTCTGCAACCATCCGCTCAATCACCTTGCCCAGGAATGGAAGATTTGAGACTGGGCAATAGTTGGCCATATTGGCCGGGTCCAAAGATTTTTTTTTAAGAAGCGGTTTAATAACCGCCTCTTTCAGTAGGTCTGGGAAGGCTCCCTCACAGAGAGAAGCATTCACCACCCGCAGAGCCCATCGCCCAGTCCTTCCTGTCTCGCTTTTATGAGCCAGGATGGGCAAGGATCAAGGAGATGGGTGATCGATTTCACTCGCCCAAGCAGCCTGTCGCCATCCTCGGAGGTAACAGAGATGTTTAGAAAGATTTCTAGGAATGATTTGATGCTTTATGACTCTTTGTTTGCAGTGTTTGAACTACTATATACCGTATTTTTCGCTCCATAAGACGCACTATTTTCCTCTTAAAAGTAAGGGGAAATGTCTGTGCGTTTTATGGAGTGAATGTGTGGTCCCTGGAGCCAAATTGCCGGAGTGTGGCAGGCTCCTGGGCTGCTCTTTGGTGGTGGTGGGGGAACCGCGCTGCTCTGCCGGCAGCCTCCGCTTCCCCCTGCAGCCCCGGGAAGCTTTGGAGCAGCGGGCAGGCTGTGTGCCCATGCCCCGCGCTCCTGGGCTGCTGAATGGGGGTGGAGGGGCTGCTCTGCACCAGCCTGCCCTTTCCCCTCAAGGTTTCATGTAAGCAGCTCCTCTCCCACTTTCCTGCTTCAAAGCAACCACGGAGGAGGGAATCCACTGCAGTCGTGAGCGGAGGATCCATGGGTCCCCTTCCTTCCCTCCTCCGTGGTTGCTTTGAAGCAGGGTGTGGGGGTGCAGTGGGGAAAGAAGGCAGGAAATAGATGCCGGGCAGGAAGACACAACCACACTTTGACACTGAAAGTCCACCTCAGGCTCCCCAGATTTCCTCTGAGACGGCCAGGCTAATCTTGATGGCCATAAGAGCTGGAAACTTGCATGGGCTGTTTATTTAAAGACAAAAACATGCACACACGTGAAATAAATCCTCCCAGGTTCCTGGACACAACCAACGCTTGATATTCACACATGGATGGCATTGGCAGCTGGAGGAGCAGCATGGTTGAAGAGCAAGTCTTAGTTTCAACCTTAAGATCAGCTCTACGTGGTGGCCTCAAACCACCCTTTGGCTGCAACGGGAATCCCTCCCTCCCTTAATTCAGGATGCTACAGTCTACAGATGCTGTGGCTGCCTGCCCTTTTCCCTGAGCTGTAAAAAGCACCTTCAAGAGGGTGGTGGGAGGTGACACAGTCATTTTCCAGATGTGCAAAGAACCACCCTCGCCACACTAAACATGACAGCAAGCCTCACACCCAGGTCTGTAGCATAAATGGGAACCTAGGAAGCTGCCTTATAAGGAGTCGGACCCACTACTCCATCTAGCTTAGTAATGGCAACACTGACTGGCAGCAGTTTGCCAGAGTTTCAGGCCTGGAGAAGCCGGGGATTGAACATGTGGTGTTCTGCATGCAAAGCCGCTGAAGTTACAGCTGTTCCCTTTAAAAACAAACTAAGATTGTAGTCCTCATGGTTCTGAAGAAAGAGCTAATTTAAACAGAAACAGAGTACCACGTCAGGACCCCTGAGCCCACTGAGCTCAGTTTTGTCTTCACTGATGGGCAGAGGCTCACCTGGGTTTCAGGAGACCCACCCTCAGCCCTACCCAGAGAAGCTTTCAAGGACTGAACTTGGGATCTTCTCCATGCTCTCCCCATTGAGCTATGATGGCTCCCTCCCCTGCTCCTCTGCAGGAGGCCTATCTCGGCTTGTCATTATAATGTATATATGTCAAGGGCTTTGAGTTGCATATAAAGTCAGGCTCAGAATTATTAACTGGACTTAGATAAGCCATGGTTCCCCTTCCTTCCCTCCTCTGAGGCTCGCTTTAAAGCAGCAAAGCGGACAGGAGCCGCCCGCTTTGCTGCTTTAAATAGTTTAGTACAACATTTGATTCAGAATAATTTTTTTCGTGTTTTCCTCCTCTAAAAACTAGGTGCGTCCTATGGAGCAAAAAATACGGTAAACATTGTTCCGATTTGCCTCTGGGCATGTTGAATTGAGCTCTGTCCTATTGCAATAGAAAAAAAACTCTGGGTGCCTCCTGGATGCTGGACTCAAATTAGTTTCCTTGGTTCCGTGGGAGTTTGGGCTAGGTGTTCATCAGTATGCGGATGATACCCAGCTCTACCTCTCTTTTAAATCAGAACCAGTGAGGGCAGTGAAGGTCCTGTGTGAGTGTCTGGAGGTGGTTGGAGGATGGCTGGTGGCTAACAGATTGAGGTTGAATCCTGACAAGACATAAGTACTATTTTGGGAGACAGGGGGTGGGCAGGTGTGGAGGACAAGGTGCACAGCCTGGGAGTCATTTTGAATTCACAGCTGTCCATGGAGGTTCAGGTCAATTCTGTGTCTACCAGCCCCATTTGGTATGCAGGCTGAGACCCTACCTGCCTGCAGACTGTCTCATCAGAGTGGTGCATGCCCTGGTTATCTCCCACTTGGACTATGAAATGAACTTTACGAGGGGCTACCTTTGAAGGTGACCTGGAAACCACATCTAATGCAGAGTGTGGCAGCTAGACTGGTGACTGGGAGTGGCCACCAAGACCAAATAACACCAGTCCTGAAAGACCTACATTGGCTCCCAGTACATTTCCGAGCACAATTCAAAGTGTTGGTGCTGACCCTGAAAGTCCTAAACTGCCTTGGCCTGGTATACCTGAAGGAGCGTCTCCACCCCCATCGTTCTGCCTGGACACTGAGGTCCAGCACCAAGGGCCTTCTGGCGGTTCCCTCAATGCGAGAAGCCAAGTTATAGGGAACCAGGTAGAGGACTTCCACACTCTGGAACGCCGTCCCATTAGATGTCAAGGAATAAAACAACTCTTTGACTTTTAGAAGACATCTGAAAGCAGCCCTGTTTAGGGAAGTTTTTAATGTTTGATGTTTTATCACATTACTATTATTATTATTATTACTATCATTATCATCATTATTAATTGTGTTGGGAGCCACCCCGAATGGCTGGGGAAACCCAGCCAGATGGACGGGGCATAAATAATAAATTATTGTTCTTGTTCTTGTAGTTGTTATTCTTTCTAGATATATCAAGAAAGGTTACAAGTCATGAGAAGTAAAAGACGCATGACTCCATCTTCATCCCCACAATTGTGTTCACTGTCCCTCAGACACCGTTGGGGCCGGTGGGCCTTCTTTTGGCTAACGAGATGGGCATTCAGAAGTCCTGCTGCCTCCGACTCTCCCAGGACCCCCTCAAATAAATCTCCCCCAGCCTCACACTTTCTATGAAGCCTTGGGCACACTCTCCCTCCCCAACCAGGTGCCCCTTGCAAGTCTGACCCTGCCTGGAACAAGCCCCTTCCGACCCCCCCCCCCCCGCCTCAGCTTCCTTTCCCCCAGGCCTATCAGAAACACGGCTCTGTCCATGTTGTCACTTGCTTTTTAACCACCGCCCCCCCCCCCCCCACGTTTTGGCTGTTTCCCATTCCCTCTGTAAGCCGCCTCGAGTCTCTGTCAGGGGAACAGGGGGATAGAAATCAATATACAACGCAAGGGCCCTGTCCCCACCCTCACCGCCTCTGCCAGGCTCACTCTTCCCTGAAATTCACCTCAGGTGGAGGGGAGGGAGGGCGCCCTTTCCCCCTGCCCCAAAGTTGGCGACGTCAACATCCCCCGCCCCCCCTGCTGCCAGTGAGGAAACACAAAAGCACCAGAAGCCATGGAAGCCTCGCTGCCCGCTCAGTCAGTCCTCGTGCGCTGAGGTAAACCCAGCGTGGCGTTTTGGCTGGCGGGCCGGATTTACAAGCCGCGATGGCACCCTGCCGGGATCACTCTGCCGGGGCAGCGCACTCCCCCCGCACTCCTCTTCCTCCGCCAGTGACAGCAGGCAGGCGTAGCTTGCCTGAAACGGCCTCATGGGCCAAACGAGGCGGCCAGTGGAGCCTAATTAGGCCCATGGACAAGAGGTTCCCAACTAGTGACATCGATGGAGGGGGCTGGGCCTGCGTGACTTCAGCATGCCCTGCATGCACTCCCCGCAACATGCTGACGTGTCATCCAGATGTCCCATGGCTTGCATGCATGACACGAGCACATCCTCAACGGTGTATGTGCATAGCCCCTTCATTGAAATTTTTTCAGGGGGGCCCAGCTGCCAGGCCCCCCGCAGATGGTGCGACTTATTGTCCATTCTTAAAGCATAGTCCTTCCTGCACTTTCTCGTCCGTATTTGGACTGTGCATTGTTATGCTTGTTGTCTCAATGCAAAGCGCTTCAGGTTTCTGGGAGCAGTCACTTCTGACCAGTGCTATTTTTCTAGAAAAAATGAACCATGAACGCTTCCCTCATTCTTTGTGAATGGCAATGGCTCCCACCTGAGAGGTGCTGGAACTGAGTTCCTGTGAGTTCCCCTGTAAAAAGCCCTGCTTCTGACCAGGGGCGTAGGAAGGGGGGTGCGGGAGTGCAATTTGCCCCGGGTGTCATCTCTGAGGTGGTGACAAAATGGCACACCGCGGGGGCGGCACTTACCACGGGGCCTGGCCTGCAGTGCGCTTGAGCCACGCGTCTCTCCTGGGAGTGATGCGGTGGCTCGGGGCCCTGTGCTGCCCAAAACGGCACCGTGGGGCTTCCGTCTGCCAGGTGGACTCCATGTGCAGATCGCCATGTGCAAAGCGCCCCCATGGGCAGATTTACCTGCCCCCGCCGCTCCGGGTGCCGGAGCATCTAGCTATGCCCCTGCTTCTGACAAGTCTTATTTCAATATAAAATATTTCCCGGATTCCCTTAGCTCTCTCATAGAGTCAAATCACAGGTTCAAGTCAGCTTTTATTTTGAAACCATCTTCTGCTCTTAGCCAGACAAAACAGTTCCTTATTTTTCACACAGTCCTGTTCCTATAACAGAACCATTTTACTTTTGTTTTTCCAAGTTATTCTTTCCCTATATAATGCTTCAATTTAACATGACAAAGTCCAATTTATATCCCAACACTCCTCATTTGGTTCTAATACTTTTTATTCCATCACACGGTGTGGGGGATGGGGAGGTAGAGAAACCTTAAATAACTTTACAAGCAATGAACATTGTCCTCCCTCCCTCCTTCTTTCCTACCCCTCTGCAGCAGGACCAACATTCTTCATCCTCCTAAATCAAACAGCATTTCTACCTTGCAGCTTCTTTGCACCATTGCAGAGAGGGCACCTTTGACTTTAAGCCAGTTGATCCAAATTATCCAGATTATTAGGAAGTCAGTCGCTTCTGTGGAGCTTCCGAGGCATCTCGACATGGAGTCTGCAGTGGCGCTGCTGCGTCCGAACCAAGATGTTTGCTACAAGGGCTCTTTTCCAAAGGTTGATACATTTCAATCAAAGTGTTTGAGTGTTAAGTTGTGGGTGAACATATCAGACGACACAGCGATTCTTCAAACAGCTCTTGTTTATTCACAGGCCAGAACAAAACTGAACTGAAGGGCTCAGCCAGCCTGCTTATATAGAGCTCCACTAGAACGCAACAGTAACCATTTTCTGTAACTATCCAATCACTGAACGTCACTTTTGATCCCTTATTTGCATATGTGGACCTGAACTATCTACAGTATCCCCCTGCTGGCCCAGGGTGAGAACTTCAGTACATAACATTGAGGTCCTTACTTCAGGTACCAAATTCAATACTTCCGTTGGAAACTGATGAATGCCCACTTTCAATTAAGGCCTGGTGAAGTGCTTTGAAATACTGGCTAAGAATCTGTGTGTATGGCCTTGAGAACGGTCTCTTCATTTGATAAATGAGGAGTACATCAGCTCCTGGTCAAAAACCATGGCCTCTTCGACCTGGTCAAAAACTTAAGGCCTCTTCGACAGGTCTTTCATCACCTTTTCTTACCCACCTAGGGTATGATACTGCCCTCAAAACTGTGAAGCAGAGGGTATGGGATATTGCCTTTAGTGATTTACGATCTCGCTCACATGTGATCTGTGGCCCATCTGTATCAGGAATCTAATACCTACAGGGTTTTTTGTTATCGCCTACCTTAAGAATTTGACCGTATGCAGAGGACATGTGGCCTTGTGGTTAGAGCAAGGGCACCTTATCCTCCATTGTTCAGGAAGTAGCAGTGGGTTGAGAAGGGGACAGCTCTGCAGAGCTGGAGCAGAACCCTGAATTAGGGAGGGCATCATGGGTAAGAATGCGCGCAGCAATAAAACTGCTGGCACGTTTGCAAAGCTAAGCAGGGTCCGGTATGGTTTCAAATTGGATGGGAGACCTTGGATTGAGATTCCTGCATTGCAGGGGGTTGGACTAGATGACCCTCGGGGATCCCTTCCAACTCTAGAATTCTGTGATTCTTCTGTCATGAGCTGAGTGTGACTGGGAAAATATATGTGTGTGTGTAACTGAGTATTCTGTGTATATATGTGTGTATAACTGTGTATTCTGAGAAAACGCAGAATACCAATGAGAGGGCCTCTTGGGAAGGAGCTCGGGGCTCTGCTAGCAACTTATGTGGATGGATGTCAGTGCACTATCTGTGGGGAGGCAGCAATTATGAATTTTAGCAATAAAAGAATAGTATACTTTTATGTGTCAAATCAGCAGAATTTCCATTTCACAGCTATCCAGCAGGTCTACAAAAGCCAACTCAAGCTGAAATTGTTGTGTTGGTGGAAGCAGTGCATTAACTACTGGGGGAGAGGGGCTAGCTGGTTTTTTTGCCCCAGATGAAGCCTCCAACGGGGGGGGGGGGGGTTGTGCCATTCAGGCCCCCTGCCTATGTGTGTATGTACACAAATGTGTGTGCCAAACTGGGTCTGTGACCCAGGTGAAATAAAGTCTACTTTTGCTCCCGGATGGAAGCGGTGTTTCTAAATGACAGGAATATAATACTACACCAGGGCAAAACTTCTATGGGCCTGTCCATAGCTCAGCTTAATGTGGATTGTGAACCCTTTGTGCCTCCTTTAATTATGGATAATAAAGCATGATTATTATTTTTTAAAAAGTGTCCCCAGATTCATTGAAAAAAACTGGAAACCATACTGTAATCTGTATAAACAGTTTAGACAGCATCTAATAAATCCAATACTAACAGAACAACCTGGAATTGCTGACTCTTTTTATGTCAAGGTTCTCCTTGAGGATAAGTTTCATACTATTACACTGGCTGTAGCAAAATTCCTCTCAGAGGCAGTAAAAATCAGAAATCAATATATACAGGTTAAAGCTCCTCTGTTGGCCAGCAAGGCCGATCTTGCAGCTTAATAAGTGTTGATATTTACAATTGTTGTACTGTGTATTTTGGGTCTATGGACTACAATAAGGCAGTGTGTTGTGCATGCTAACCTTGTCCACCCCCGCGGGGGAGGGGTTCAGGAGTGTGTGTTTGCCTTCACCCCCCCCCCCAGCCTCTTCTGGTCCCAGAGAAGCAACTCTGTGCGGTCCTGGCCTGGCCATGAGGTCTGCCAGGCAGGGAGCAGCAATTCCAGGTCTCACTGCCAAGATAAACACTTAGAAGCATAGAGGAGGGAGAAAGGTTGTTTTCTGCTGCTCCAGAGAAGAGGACACGGAGCAATGGATCCAAACTACAAGAAAGAAGATTCCACCTAAACATTAGGAAGAACTTCCTGACAGTAAGAGCTGTTCGACAGTGGAATTTGCTGCCAAGGAGTGTGGTGGAGTCTCCTTCTTTGGAGGTCTTTAAGCAGAGGCTTGACAACCATATGTCAGGAGTGCTCTGATGGTGTTTCCTGCTTGGCAGGGGGTTGGACTCGATGGCCCTTGTGGTCTCTTCCAACTCTATGATTCTATGAGAAGCAAAGTTGTCTTACTCTTTATTAAAATGATTTTGTATTCTATTAAGAATTGGAAGTTCTATGGACAGCCTTTTACCCAAGTCAAATTTCTTGTTGTCTACATTCTACTCCTGAAGCACCTTAAAAATAAAATGAAATGCTGCTAAGAGAATCTAAGATATGTGTTGTTTATGTAATCAGGAAAGCCGTGCCAGCTGTGGTGCAGGGGACCAGAGATGTAGCGTCACTACCTACTTTTTTTGAGGGGGAGGGGTGTTGTGAAGAATGCTTGCTCTTTGGGATTCACTGCTACGCTACTGAGTCCCAAGTAATTCCCCCCACCCCCACCCGCAAAAATGTAATGACTGCTTTTGCAGCTCCTGAAGGCTTTTCCAAGCATTTCTAGAAATGTAAGCTTTCTCTTTCTTTGACCAGATTCAGAACTTCTCCAGTGCATATACACTCACAGGAAAAACAGTGGTATGACCTGCATTTCATTTTCTGGGAATGCCCACCAAAGGCTTGAGATGTAAGCCCCTGTCTTCTTGAATCACATAGTATAAAGTCCTTCTACTTGCAGCAGGACTACTTTGGACTATATGGCTTAAGGATCTTTAATACCTATGCAACTGTTAATATTTGAGGTGTTTTAAATGCACATAGGCTCAACACTGGCTATTTCTATTTTCTACTTTGATTCCCCCCTTTTGACTTTATGTATTTTCTGCAGGCATTTACACTATCAAGTGCTCACACAGCAATGTACGCACTCTGTCTGCTATTGTTAACAGATACCATGATCGCAGCAGTTTGCTATTTTAAAGTATAAGGTCAATTCAGACTATTTCAGAAAGTGCTGTGTCGTGATTATTGGTGAAGAGTGAGATCTTGTTTAAAAATAATGGCCACTGTATGAAGGGAAACCATGGAAATTACCTAGAAATACAACACTAGAGGGGGAGAAAGGACACACATCTCTGTTTCCCTGTCATGTAGAGGAGCCACATAAAGAAAGTCAGAGAAACAGCAAATATTTGCAAGACTGACATCTTACTTCAAAATGAATGTTAGACTTATAGCAGGGCTGTTGTCATACAGCAGAAGTGGATAAGCTGTTTTGTCTAGAGGGCTACACTGTTCCATTGTGATTGGGCTACATTTGGGGGGGCTAAAGTGGGCCAAAAAGGGGAGGGGAGGTACATACTCACATCCACACGCATGTAGGCAACCATGGATGTAGCCAGGGCGTAGGCAAGAAAATAAATAGAAATCCTTAACTAACTGACCAATTGTGTTGCAGAAAACTTGGTTCTGCCTCCTTAATTTAGATCCTGCGTATGTCCATGCAGGCAACCACAATTTCTCACTTACATGTACACCTGTGCAGGCACTGCTTTGAGGGCACATGGAGACACCAGAGCAAGAAGAGGGACAGCTACAGCTCCCTCCCTTGTCCTGCCAAGCCTGTCTAACGACAGAAGAATTTCTTAGGCTGCTCTTGTTTTTTGTTGGCTCCTTCCCTCATCCTGCACCTTGCTTCAAGGCCCTCCAGGCAACTTTTGTCACAGCTCCCAAGGCAAGCCCTGCTCTTTGGGTTACCATATTTCAAGAGGTAAAAATCCAGACAGAAAAAGTTGTTGAGGTTTGTTTTTTAAGGGCAATCGCCCAATCCACCACTGCTGAGCCCGAACTATCCACACCAGAGCCAGAACCAGAGCCACCCGCACATATTTTTTTTAAAAAAAAACCAAAATCCAGGACGTTTGTTTTATAATGTAAACCCGCCCCCCCGGATGGGTGTGAAGGACCCCCAAAGGAGGTCATGCCCTGGACTTACTGGACGTATGGCAACCCTACCTGCTCCCAGAATGCTCGTTGATGATAGCTAGTACTCAAGTACTATCAAAAGCATCTGATGATACCCAAGTGCCCTAGATGGTGGAAAGCATGATGTAACCTTTAATTATTTCATTAATTAATAAAAATAAAAAGTCTCTATTCAGACTTTCCAAATGCTCCATCTTGATGAATGTAGCATTAAATGATGCTCTGAACAAGTCATCACAAACCAAATGCTGCATGCATTTATCACCTCACCTTAAATACAGTGGTTTACAATGGAGTCAGTTTACACATCACACACATGAGAATTAACTGGTAAAAAAAAATGGAGTTGCATGTGTGAACCAACTTCTAAATGCACAAAGACTGCAAGGAGCTAAGGGGAAAGGAAACATTTAAAAAACGTAAGCAAGATGCCATATATATCTGTATTCTTTCCTTATTCCTAGTAAATAAATTTAGACTGAATGGCAGGAAACCACTCTAAGAATGTTGTTTTTGCTTTCTGCTTCCTCCAATAAGTCTATCATTTCCAAAGAGGCTTTCAGGATAACTGTGGAGATGAGTCTTTGACATCACTTTAGGGATGCTCTCTTGAAGCAGTGCAATTCCTTGTTGTATGAGTCAGTCAAAGAAATGGATTTTGATTAATGTATGTATGTTATAGGAATTGTTGTCATCTATCACCAGGAAATGATGTACTTCAAGTCTAGCTGTAGAAATTACTTTGTCATACTATGTGAGACTTCTACGTCTGTGTGTAGACTTAAGGATATTCTCAATGTTCATTAAATCTGTCAAATACTCCAAACAGGCCAAATTCACAACAAACAAAAGAGATGGATATGTCTTATCTCTCTAAGTGTCACAAAATAACCTATTTGTTTCAGGATAGTGTTAGTTAACAAATTCTTGTTATGCTTCCATAGCACAACTGAGCTATGGAAAAACATCAACAGAGCTAAGTACTGTAGCTGTTAAGTATGCTTTTACATTGTGCTTCAGATAACATTACAGGGAACTAGGCAGAGGGCTTTCTCAGTAGCAGTGCCCTCTTTTTGGAATGCTCTCCCATCAGATCTCAATTAGATAAAGAACTACACAACTTTTAGAAGACATCTGAAGGCAGTCCTGTATCAGGAAGTTTTTAATATTTGATGTTATATTATGTTTTTTAATGTGTTGGAAGCCACCCAGAGTGGCTGGGGAAACCCAGCCAGATGGGCAGGGTATAATTAATAAATTATTACTATTGCTATTATTATAGGTTTGGGGAGCCTGGGATTTTGGATCCAGTGAGGTTTCCATCTACTGGAAGAAGCTGTTGAACCACTCAGCCTAATACCTTTGTTAACATAATGTTAACAGTTGGCCAGTTAAGTACTTCCATTTACATTTCCAAAGAGCGAGTTCTGTTGCCATAGTGACAAATGAGACTGGAGTGCAAGCAACAGTTATGATTCTAAACCAATCTAGGGGTGATTGGCTTCACTTTTCTCTGGTCATCATTTAATGCATCTGTCGCCAACAAATGAAAACAAAAAGTCTGATGTTAAGTGTTGGTACAGTAAGGCCTATTTCAAATCTACTCAGAGCACACAACAGTCAATTATGGCTTGTCCACACTGGAGTCTACTGTGTTTGCTTTCCCATTTAATTTGCATAATCCACATGATGTTACCCTCAAACAACACCAATGTGGATGCTTTCACACTGTAAATTCAGGTTCATTCAATAATGGGATAATCTGGTAAACTGGGGAAATTGGGCTCTAAAGTACTATAACTTGCACTTTTAATTAGTTTGTGTTTGGAGATGGGTGGATCAATCATCACTTCTACTCCCCTTTCTACACCAACTATTTCCTCAAAGCTTTCATTTCTTTTCTGTCTGTGCTCCTAACTATTTTTGGTACACTAAACCTCATATTTGCACAAAACCAGAAAACTGCACAAACCACATTCAAAATCGTTTGCTGAGAATTTATAATTGTCTGTGTGCTGTTGTGCATTTTTTAAAAGGTACACACACATCTATCTCTGCACATGCCCTGTTGGTACATACTTGGCATAACAGAGTCAACAAATTAGAAGGCAGGGACAAATACAAAATGGAAAGCCTACTGGTGTGAACAGGACTGACTGAAGTTGCTCATATACGCATTCAAATACGTGCATACACATAGTACTCTATTCAAACACAGGAAAAGTGGATTAACAGCTAAATAATGCTCAAGTGTGGACAAGCTCTTAGGGCAAATTTACAATGGTCAGTTATAACATTAAAAATGCATTAAATATGACACCTGAGGCCACGGCACAGCAGTGATCTGTCAGCAATGGGAAATTGCACTGAGAGCTATATAAGTTTGTTATAGCCTTTAATAGTGTTTTTACAGATCAGGGAAGATCTAGCCTTAAGTTTCCTCAGAATTCCTATTTCTATGAACTTGACAAAATGGTACAGGCTATAGCAAGACCTAAGCTGCATATAAGGATTTGGAGAGGGGATTGTAAACCGTCACTGGCTGCAGTACCTTACCTGCATTGGCGTTCCTTTAGCGCCATGGTCTCTGGTCAAACTGCTGCTCTGATAGTTTGAACAAAGGCAGGGCTGGGGGTGGTGGTTTGGAAAGTAGCCATTATATCAACAGCTCTGCCACTTCTTACATATGTTACCAGAGCAACAGGTGTCTTACAATATTCCTGCTGGTAATACATTCATACCTCATGTTGCATCCGCTTCAGGTTACATGTTTTCGTGTTGCATCCCGTGGCAACCCGGAAGTACCGGAATTGGTTACTTCCAGGTTTCACCGCTTGTGCATGCGCAAAAGTGCTAAAACACGTCGCGTGTGTGCGCAGATGCTTCAGCTTGTATCAGTTCCGTGTTACGGACGGGCCTCCAGAACAGATCCCGTCCATAACACAAGGTTCCACTGTATATAGAGGTACCTCAGGTTAAGTACTTAATTCGTTCTGGAGGTCCGTACTTAACCTGAAACTGTTCTTAACCTGAGGTACCACTTTATCTAATGGGGCCTCCTGCTGCCGCTGCACCACCGGAGCCCAATTTCTGTTCTCATCCTGAAGCAACATTCTTAACTATTTCTTGGTTAGCGGAGTCTGTAACCTGAAGTGTATGTAACCCGAGGTACCACTGTATTGAATTACTGCTTACCATGTTACTGCTGGTGATATGTTAACTGGGCATTGGGGTCCCTTTGAATGAGGACCTGTAATTCTGTACTTCTTGTTGCAAATTCCAGCCCCATCTATTTCAACCGTATTTCCCATAATTCTCTCCCAAACCGAATCCAAGGCTCTATAAAATATTTCCCATTGGGAATATGCAGCACAGTTTAAGAGAAACAGTAGCAAATATAAAATCTCCAATGAAAACTAGATAATATTAAGACTGATTTCCGGAACATTATTTACAAACAAGAGACCAATAATTAGTCCAGTATGTAGAGATAGACATTTACAAGACTGTAGCATAAGTTTGAGATCATCTTGTCAAAGCAATAAATAGGACTAGACAGTAGGCACCTGGTTTTCACATGCAACCCTACAGAGCTAGAAAATAACTAGCCTTGTATTGTGACACTTCCAGTAACTTATTTTTTACACAGATCATTTATTGCTTTGTATTAAGTACGTGAGTCATTGTGATGTTAAAAATATCATACTTAAAATCACATGTCCTTGATGTCATTCATACAAATAGTTTTTAAGAAATCCCGGCCATGGAATTCATCAGCATGACTGAGAACAAGGCAAACAGGAAGCATAAGACTAGGGATGCCATAAGGAGGTGTGTTGAATTTTCAACTTTCAAATTCCAAAAACGAAGGGTGCGAAAAGCTGTAACATGACTTGGGAATTCAAAAGATATTTCGGTTAAATTAATATAATTTAGTTTTGCTTGGTAAATAAAATGTTTGTAAAATTGCAAGGAAATCATTAAAATTGATTGCCAAGTACTTGCAAGTTTATTATATATTAATATTAGTTTCATTATTGTTCTTATTTACCTGACATTTTCAGAAGGTAAAATTAAAATTATTTGGTTCTTTGTGGTTCTTTATTACACGTAGGCTTACCAAGCTAAATGTTGTCCAGTCACAAAAATAATAGCAGATTTGAAATCCTCACACCAAAAATATATTTTTCAGATTCTTCAATCATGACATTTGCAAAAATGAAGTTTCACCCCCTTAAATGACATACCCTAATGCCATAGTCATCCACTAAGCTTGATTTTCAGTATGGATATTGTTGTTCCACGGTTGCAGACAA